TTTTGTATTCCCTTAATTAGCATAGAAATAGTATTGAGTCACTCAGTTTTAATTAATCTGAGACTATGTTTGCATCATGTGGTTATGATGAATTAGTAATATGGGAGAAAGGATTATAAAAAAAATGGGAATTTAAATTTACTTAATATGTTTCAAATGGACGTAAAATCCATTTCATTGATGATAATCAACTTCTTTGGGTAACTCTAAAAAGAAAAATTAATGATCTTTTGGTATTTGAATTATAGAATGGGGTTTTTAAATAGAATTCAAATAAAACTATCACTTTAATTCAGAATGAATTATGTAAGGATGATGTGCATTTTCCAATAGTATATAATAACGATAGAAATGTGATATTAGTAAGACACAAACACCATATTTACTTGATTAGACAATTAAATAATAGTACATTTCACATAATTGCATCATTAAATTGTGAAACTAAAGAATCATATGGAACTATGACTAATAATGGTTAATATTTAGTATTTTGGGATAATAAATATAAAAAATATTCATCATATGAAATATAATATAAATGAATTTAATTAAGTATCTAAATTTATCTAAAAGAAAATTCGCAATAGAAGAATCCATTTTCACACTGTTTTTTTAAATAGATAGAGATATATAAATTTAAAATTTGCAGCAAATCATGTAAACTTAATTAGGAGGAGCTACTATGATGAGCTACTTTGAACAATTTTACCGATAAAGGCTTTATTGTATTGATTGCGCCTTTGAAACTTATTTATAAATTATTGAAATTATATCTAAGTGTGTTATAGCAAAAACTTAAATAAAAAAAAGGTATACAAATAATTTTAAAACTTTATAAAAATATTACAAATTATGGCAAGAGAACAATCAATTAACATAGTACAAGGCTCTATAATATTAGAATAATACATTAAGTCATCATTAGAATTAAAAAATATTTAACTCATGAATGATACAATTTTTGAGATTGTTGGTGATGCATTTATTATTATAAAATAACAATTAAAATGATAATATAGAGGCTTGATATTATTATATGTTCAAGCATAGTTATGTAGATCAGAAGGTTTATAAAAAATTATAAACAGATATTGCTAAATATTTAATTTTGAATCTAATCAATTCTCTAAAGTTAAAAAGATTTTAGCTTTAATTTATATTTATTCTTGTTATCTAGTTAATGATGCCAGATTTTATTTGGGAATTTCATTGCAAAATAATCTATATTATTGATAATATTACTTTTGAGTTTTGATTTAAGTATTTGCTATTTTTAATAAATATGCTTTTAAAATTGAAAAATTTTATTGAACTCTTTTTTCTTTTATCCTCCATTATATAAGTAAATGGCCAAGATAGATTACTTATTTCGATTTTGGTTTAATCGATTTCAAAAAATCATATAGCACAGTTACGAATAATACCTGATATTTCTTAACATAAGCTTTAAATATGTCTAAAATAAACTAATAACAAAGTTTAATACAAAGAAGCATAATAAATACTTACAAAATTTGAGAAGATGCATTCTAAACTTACTATTCACTAACGTATTTAGCAATTGCGACAAAAATAGCAATAGAGCAAATTTAGGCTGCTTAGAGATCTAAATTATTTAATTTTGATAGATTGTAAGGTTGTTACCTTCCTGCTAATATTTAATATATTAATAAAAATAATCCTAGCAAAGTCGCCTTGAGCAGAATATTAGATTCGAAATAAGTCATTATAAGGATTATGCTGATCTTTTTGGAAAATTTGATGTATTCCCAAAAGTAATTTTGTTCATTATATTCATCGAATAAATAACAAATATGTCTTCTAAATTAAATCTTATTGAAACTTTTTTTTGTTATAAACATAAACAAAAATAAAGCAAATGGAATTAAAAATCCTAATAAAACTAACCCAGGAATACCAAATTGATAAATCCAATAATTATGATTTGAGGAACCAAATTTTTATGTTAAGTCTCCTTGGATGTATTCAATGTTTGATATTATTCTTTTAGACACAATTGAACAAAATCTTATAATAAATAATTTATTACTGGTTAAAAAGCCCAAAGAAATTTGAAACATATAAATATAATAATGTGTTTGAAATGATATAAGTTTGAAACCTACCTTGAGAGGGTTAAACATATATTTGATACCCTATCAAAATTATTGCAACCTATATTAATATCAATAAAATGGTAACAATAATTCTTTCCTAAATTAATTCAATTTAAAAAAACTTAAATAAATAGGCAATCAAGAATTAAAGCCCTGAGATTAAAAATTTTACCTTATTTTGGGTCATTAATTTGAAATGAAATTTTAAAAATTTGATTTTTAAAAGTAAAAATGC